TGTGTGTGGCCAGCTCTCTCAGATCAGGATTTCTGAGTAGCACCAGAAGCTTTTGGGCTCTCAACAGAGTTAGAAGCTTCAGTGAATGTCTCCTGGCTGTTACTTTGTTTGAATTTTCTCTTGATGCTTTCTTGCCAGGTTGGAGAACTGCATGTGAGAATCTGTGTCTGAATTTTCCTTTGTTTTTTGCCAAGGGATGTGTTTATAGGATTTTACTGCATTGGAACAGTTAATTAGAAATGGGTACGATATCAATTATTCTGTTAAGCTTTCCAATAGATTTAAGAAATTCTAAATTCCTCCCCCTTTGCTTGTACTTTAACCAATATATTTAAATAAATTGTGTTTTGATTAACATTGAGTAGTTTGACCAGTCGCATCACATCTGGGACAGATACTTTACATTTGCTCTTAATGTAAGAAAAAGCTGGGGTTGAGGCTACCCTCTTAAAATACTTTGAGAGGGTGTGATCTAGACAGTAACAATACAGAGCATTTGAAAACAGGGAAACAGTACTCTGGCAAATAAAAGAAGCATTGTTGAAAAATGACATGTTTTCTTGAAGTTTTTTTGTCTTGCACTCAAAGACATTTTGAAAGAAAACCAATTCAAGGAGAAAACTAACATTTCTACTTCTCCGACCCCCTTCAAACAGAATAAATGTTGGAAATCCACCTGAATTGATAATCTTGTGAAATGTCCTGTTGCGTGCAAAATGCAAAGCTTTTGACAAATAGTGTCTTTGTTCAGCAATACTGAAACTCTCAACTATAAAATGATTTCTTTAAGAATAACTTCAGTAATAACTGCCTTGGCCTCCCAGTCATAGTTTAGTAAATTTAATAAGAAACCTGCATGATGGAAATACGCTCTCTTAGTTAGGTCTTTTCCTCCTGGGTCCATGGGCTTTGAAAGATCTTCTTGTAATGTGAAAACCAATCTGAGCACAAAGTGGCTATATTTTAAAGTAATAAATTGATTTTTAATTGATTGTTACCTCCTAGTTAACATCCTGAGGTAATTAGCGAAGCCCTTGTCAATGTAAAATCTCCCTGTGTGATCATTCTGAATGATGTTATCACATTTTCCATTCAAGGGATAAGTTTGAAACAGTTTGCAATTATCTGGCTTTTGTGAAATTATTCTACCTTCTTTTTAGAACATTGACTAATGTTTCAGAAACCATTCCATTTCCGGTCAGTGGTATACAGTTGTTTCCTGTGCATTGGTCAGAGTTTGGTGGCATGATTATTTTAATGAATGACTTAACATATTAAAGAACAAGACTTTGAGAAAGCAACAGCGATGCAAAGTTTGTATCACTCCTACAAGTAGATCTAGTTGATCTAAAACTGCAACAACTTGAAAACAATGTTACAATTAAGTGAGAAGGGGTCAGTTGGCTCTCCTGGTTAGCCTCTCCATTTGACTGCAACACTTTTTTGCCTTGTTTGAAAGGGTTACACCTTCCACTTTATTGTTTAGCTGATGCGGTCATAAAATACCAATAGTGCAGGATGGTGAAAAAGTTAAGCTTTATTTATTTAAACCCATCTAAAAACATACATTTGCACGCACTAATACACATTATAATTGGGGGAGGAAAGATTGCCAAATTGGGGTCATTTTCTAAAGAAAGTATATACAGTCTGTGGTCAATAGGGCCCTAGGCCATGTCCAACACATCTCCCACACTTTGGCCCTCCCCATTCCCTTCCCTAACACTAATAGGGTTCCCCTGGTCCTCACTTGCCATGCCACCAGTCCTGGCATCCAAAGGATCGTTAGCTGTCATTTTTGCTACCTCCAGCAGGATGCCATCACTGAACGCATATATTCCACCCCCCCTTCCCTTGTCACATTCCACAGCGATTATTCTCTCTGGGACACCCTAAGCCATTCCTCCTTCACTCCCAAATGCTCCCCCACACTCCCATAGCACCTTCCCCTGTGATCACAGAAAGTGTAATACCTGCCTGTTTACATCCTTTGTCTTCACTGTCCAAGGACCCTTACGCACCTTCCAGGTGAAAGTGATTTACTGCTGCCTTGGCAAATTTTTTCATTTGCCTTGATAGCTTAAAGTCCTTAGGACTCAACGTTGAATTTAACAATTTCAGAATGTGAACACCTCCTTCCTCCATGTTCATTGCTCACCCTCACACTGCTAGCTCCTGTTATATTTGGCCAACCCGTTTTTGACTACTCACACTTCCCATTGGCATCCTTTTCAGCATTTATCTCTCTCCCATCCTCCTGCTTCTCCTTTTTCTCCTCTTTCTCTGTCTCTCGCTCTTATTCTCTTTTTCATTTTCTTTTTCTCTTTCATCTATTTGAATCACGCCTTTCCCCACCAACAATACCCACTCATCATCATAAATATCATCATTTCCCTGCTGCTTTCCGTTCTGAAGAAAGGTCATTGAACATTAACTCTGCTTTTCTCTCAGTAGATGTTGCTAGAGTTTCTCCAACACTTGCTGTTTTTGTTTCAGATCTCCAGCACCTCCAATTCCTTTGCTTTAGTTTATTATAAAATCTGTAGTTTGGTGACTCGGTTGGCTTCAGGCTGACTCCAAAATTTTGACACTTTCGATCTGCACTCATCTCTCGGTGTTGAGGTAAGTCACACCTGTGGAGTGAAGCTCTTTCTTGAAAATCTCTGTCTGCTGCACGTGGAGAGGGATAATAGCAGACAGTTTGCAAGTTGGATGGAGAAGGAGGAGAGCGAGGAAGCTCTCTTAGCTGCTTGTCCTCTGATGTGCCAAAAAAAAAGTGCTTAAAATATACAAAAGGCTGGCTTACCATGAGGCTGCTTTCTCCTTTCCAATCCCCTCTCAGTATCCCATAGTTCAACTGATTGGGTTTGATAATTCAAAGGTTATGCTAATAGAACATGAAATATGGTTTATTTTTATTTCTCTGAGATAGTTGTTTTTGAGGTTTTAGAGACATGCTGTCTTGAGAAGGTTGGCATGTATGGTAATGCAAATTCAGTAGCCATCTTGGCTGTAAGTTCAAGTCACTTTAGTCTACATTTTACAAAATCTGTTTGGAAAAGTTCAATTCTGGTTTCCAGCCAGTGGATTCCAACTTATTTTTTGCCATAAAGCACATGTTAATGACAATGACATTTTTTTTTGATCATGTTAAATGTAATAATATCCATTGCGCATCCCAGAAGCATCCTAGAGCAAATGTTTGATGTCGGATCCCCATAAAGAGAAATAAAGGCAGATATCCAAAAACCTGATCCAAGAGGTGGCCTTTAAGGAAATCTCAAATGAGAAATAAGAAGGAACGACATGGAAAGGCTTAGGGAGGTAATTCCAGAGGCTTAGGACTTTGGGAGTTAAAGGCACAGCCATCAAACTGACGGAATCTTTTCAAGCTATATCATTATTTTTTCCTTGTTGTTAAATTATTCAAAATGGCGCCTATTAAAGGTGACAAATGAAAGCTTTTCACTGTATTTTATTGTATTCTTACTTGTAAAATGCACATGACAATAAACTCTAAATCTAAATCCAATCAGTGCTACAGCATCTAGTATCCGGGATGTTTCAGAGTCCATGTTTAGAAGACACTGGTTATCTTGGAGAAATGTCAGGCTGGAGGAGATTAGAGACAAGAGAGGATCATATTATGGAGGGATTTGAAAACCAGGATGAGAATTCTAAAATCATAATGTTTCTCATCTAAGAACTGGTGTCTGCCAGTGAACTCTGGTGGGGGGTGAAGTGAATAGGGATTGGTGCAAGTTAGAACGTGAGCAGCAAGGTCTTTTGGATAATCAAGACTACAGATGATCGAAAGTACCGTACAGGAATAAATTGAACTAAAACAGTCCACAGGTCTGGGGTGACTGTTTCAGCTATAAGTAAGTTAAGGGGTGGAGGAGGTCTGGAAATATTAGGAATTCTTTCTGTTCATTCAGGAGGTGTGGGTATGGGTGCTAGACCAGCATTAATTGCCTGTTTCTAATGGCCCAGAGGGCAGTTATGAGTCACCTACATTGCTGTGGGTCTGGAGTCACATGTAGGTCAGACCCGGTAAGGATAACCGTTTCCTTCCCTAAGGGGCACTAGTGATCCAGATGGGTTTTTCCTGACAGTCAGCAATGGATTCAAGTCATCTTAACTCCAGATTTGTTTTTAATCAAATTCCAATTTCATCAACTGTCATGGTGGGATTGATGATCTCTTGTGATGTTTATTTCATTGGCAGCAAGAGCCTATAGCACAGTATAACATTAACTGTAAAGTTTGCTGCACTTCAAGGGGAAAGTTTCATCATTTTTGTAGACTCATACAATGCAAAAAGTGGCCAATTAGTACATTATGCCTGTACTACCAGTTCTTTGAAAAAGCTTCTCAGCTGAAATTGCTCACCTACTGTTTCCTCACAGTCCTGTCCTCCTTCCTTTTGGGTTTACATCCATTTATCCTAGTCTTTGTATTATTTTATGAATAGCTAACATCACAGCCAATCTCCTCTTGGAGCATTGATTTCAGGAAATGTGTTAACTGCTGCACCAGTGGATGTAACACAGATATTTGCCTGCACATTCCACACAGCATGCAACCTTGGGTTGCAGAAAATTGTGAAGTGCTGGTGTGACATATCCCCACTGGAATGGAGAAGGAAACACAAAATAGATTTATGACGCCTTTGTCCTGTAAAGCACCTGTTTTGTAACAGCACTGGCGTGCTATCTCGGACCAGAGAAAATGTGTAGAACAGGTTATAGGAGGTAGACAAAAAAGTAGATTGAGTCCAAAAACAGATCAGCCAAGCTTTTATCAAATGGCAGAGCCAGCTGGAGGGGCTGAATGGCCTGCTTCTCGTTAGAATTCATATTTTTCTATGCTTGTCTGAACTCCGCATCAGTCAAATAACACCTGAACGGAGGTGCAGAATTGCATAGAGCAACAGGTTCACTGAACAGCAGGATGGTTTGATTACTCGCTCCTGGTAAATGCTTATTTGCGCCATTGTCTTACACAGTGCTGTCACAGCTGACATGACCCTGAGGCCTCTTATAATTGCCGCACAGCTGCGTGCCTGGAATTTCAGTTTTAACATAGATCTTGTGGAGCAGCAACTCGTGGAATGACTTGGACATGAAGAAGTAAATGATGGGGTCGAGGCATCCGTTGCAAGCTGCCAGGAATAGCGTGAACTCTCTCCCGTGAAACCTGACACTTTTGACAGTGCAGCTGAAGTTTCCGTGAATCTGACCGACAGTGAATGACAGTCTCCACAGGTGATAAGGCACAAAGCAAATGAAAAAGACAGCAACAACCCAGGCTATGTTTTGGTTCGTCTTGCAGTTTTTGTTGGTGGCCGTGTTGAATGTTTTCTTTGACTTAAGGATTTCCTTCATGATGAAGATGTAACAAACGACCAGGATGAGGAAGCCGATGAAGAATATTCCTGTGCAGATGTAGATCACTGCCTCATGCCAGTGCTTCCCAAAAGAGCTCTTGAGCGAGGTGCAGTGTTTCACGTTTACTGCGGTGGCCTTTTTGTTGGTTAGAATGCTGTTTGGAACCCCCAAAGCTAGTACAAGTAGCCACACTCCTGCAGAAAACACCCTTGCGTGGTTAATGTCATGCACTTTGGAGTTTCTGAACGGTTTCACAATTTTCAGGCATCTATCCAGACTGATCAGACTAAGGAACAATATACTGGCATACATGCTGAGATGGAAAATCACCTCTGAGTAGCGGCACACAAACCAGGTTAGTTGCCAGGGTGCCAGGTCTGACTTGCTGAGTACCTTAAATGGATACGTGAGCGTCATTAACAGGTCGGATACAGCCAGGTTTTTAAGATAGAAATCAAAACTCCGTGTTTTCTTGATCTTGAAGAATATCCAGATCGCCAGACTGTTTAGTGTGAAGCTGATGATGAAAATGATCGAGTAGAGAATTGGGTAAACCACTTCTGCAATCTTGCTGTCTCTTGGGCAGAAGGTATGATTTGAGGTTGTGTCAAGTGTTGTATTCATTTTCTTGATTTTTAAATCCTGGAAGGTGGGAGAGAAAATGACTGAGAGTTAATGTTATTGTGATGAAATGGGTTCAACTAATTTCACAGCGATTCTTAAAGACTTAAGTGTAAATCGCACAACAGATACCTTGATATTCTTTTTTTAGAAATCAGAGTTATCGGTTTTCATTTAGATGCTCTGATGGTATTCCACTGTATTTTTCTACCCTTTTTTTTAAAAAAAAAGTTACTGATTATTTGTTAGTTATTTGCTTACCTGGTAAACATCTGAAGCTAAAAATTTTCCCTTGGTCAAATCCTTCTCTATCTGTGGCTCTTCCAGTCCCAGTAGCACTGCCACCAAATTGGGCAGAGCAAATTGGGCTGACTTTATCCCAGTTCTCTCTTGCCCAAGAAGCGCTTCAAAGCATTACTCATATTATTCTTGTTTCGGTTTAACATCTTTGCATTCGTAGTTAAGCATTATTTATAAAATCATGAGGGTGAATAGCCGAAGTCTGAGTCCAAAAGCAGAGGCCATAAGGTGAGGGATTTGAAAGGGACTGAAAGGGCAACTTTTCACGCAGAGGTGGTGCGTGTATGGAATGAGCTGATAGAGGAAGTGGTGGAGGTGGGTACAATTACAACATTTAAAAGGCACATGGATGGGTATATGAATAGGAAGGATTCAGAGGCATATGGGCCAAATGCTGGCAAGTGGTACTAGTTAATTTAGGATATCTGGTCGGGACAGATAAGTTGGACCGAAGGGTCTGTTTCTGTGCTGTATGACTCTGAATGTTCAGCAGCATCAATGACGAGATTCTCAAGTAATTGATTACTTGGAGTGGGATGGAAGTGAACTAACAGAAGTGCAATCAAATTAGACTTCTCATACGTCCAGGTCTCTTCTGTGGTCGGTGTTACTTTCTTCATAGCTTGATAGGAGAGATTCAATTAGCAGCAATCTCCCCTTTGAGTTAGAACTTGAGCATTGTGAGTTGAAAGCGCACTCCAGATTCTGGAGTGCAAAATGTCAATTCACCGCAGTGTTATACCAAGCATACTTTCAGATATACTATCTTTTGGATGAAATGCAAAACTAATACCCTTTCAGGAGATCCAAAAGATCCCAAAGTACTAATTTGAAGAAGAGTTGGACCATTCTTCCTGGTGACCTAGTCAATACTTATTCTCAATGTTCATCACGAAAGCAGTCAATCTCATTCTTATGTCTCAGAGATAGCAAGAACTGCAGATGCTGGAGTCAGAGACAACACAGTGTGGAGCTGGAGGAACACAGCAGGCCAGGCAGCATCAGAGCAGCTGGAAAGTTGACGTTTCGGGTCAGGACCCTTCTTCAGATGGGTTCTGACCTGAAAGAAGGGTCCCCATCCAAAAGGTCAACGTTCCTGCTCCTCTTTTGCTGCTTGGCCTGCTGTGTTCCTCCAGCTCCATACTATGTTGTCTTGTTCTTGTGTCTTTCCTGTTTCTGGGGATATGCTGTATTAAGGAAAAAGAGCAGTCAAAAATCTGTACTAAAACACAAAAATGATTTTGTTTCCCTTTGACCCAGAAAATCTGGTTATAATTTGAAACCACCAAACAATGTTGTAATCCTTGTAGAGACCAATAATTTATATTAAAAAAAATTGAACTTCTGGTTAATAGTTGAAAGAAAGATTTCACGTTTCAAATTGTTTACTGAAAGCAGTATTGACTAAACACTACATCTAGGCAACCTAAGCTTTAATCCCAGTATGGAAAACCCACATTTTGATATTCTTTCAGTACAATTGACAAGTACACTTCAAAGATATGTTTTAGTGTCCTTCAACTTGACATGTAATTCTGCCAGAATTCGTCTAAAGTGATTCTTAGCTCCTAAGGTTTTATTTGTGCTCTTATTTCTTACATTGGAAGCATTTAACTCCAGATATCTTTTACGGTGCAATTATTCTGGAGACTTCTACCTCTCGCTAAAGCTAGGCAAACTGTTTTACTGCATTTTAACATTCCTTGAATTTGCTACTTCAATTGAAATGCCAGCTTCCATAAACAGCAATCTTCTAATAACTGGCATCTGTGGGACCAGGAGTCTGCAGGTTGAACAAATACTCTGGAGAATCAAGAGGTACGTATAATCAATGTAAAAACACACACTAAGTAATGGAAATGTAATGCAGGTGGTATACACATCATTGTTATACTTTATTTACAGCATAAATCACTTCAATAACAATGCAACTTCGCCTTAAATAAAACTTACCAGCAGAGAGCCTTCTCACTTGCTCCCTCAACTGACTACTCAGACACCACAGTAGATTTAGATTTACTTATTTGTCTCACATACTAAGTATAGGAATACATAAGTACAGTGAAAAGTGCACAAAGTCGCCATTCACTGGCTCCCACTTGGTCACAAAAACCAGAATTTAAAGATTTTAACAGAGCTGAAAGGTAAGGAAGAAGAAAAAGTCCAAATCGCAGAGGTCCAAGTCCCATCTCCACAATGGTGCAGGCAAAGCTCCAATCGCTAGGTCTCCATCCCTGCCTCACTGGCTCCCCCTCTCCCTATCCCTGCCTCGCCGCCTCCCCCGCCTCGCTGTCCCTGCCTCTCCGGCTCCCCCACCTCACCGTCGCTGCCCTACCGGCACCCCCCCCCCCCCTCCCTATCCCTGCCTCCCCGGCCCCCCCCCCCCCCCTCGCTGTCCCTGCCTCTCTGGCTCCCCCTCTCGCCGCCCCTGCCTCACCAACGCCCCCCCCCCCCACCCCACCTCCAACCCCTCACTGTCGCCGATGTCACTGCAGTACACAGCCCGTGCATGCAGCTCCTCGCATGGTTCCCAGTCGTGACCCGAATCTTCCTTAACTCCTTGGGTAGGTAGTTATTTGGCGGCGGGTGGGGTGGGGAACCAATTTTTACAGAAAAGAGGAAGGAAAAGTAAAGGGAACAGGTGAGCAGATTGGAGTTGTGAATGGAGCAACTTTACTATGCTGCCATCTTGTCGGATTGCAGTGTTTGAGGAGAAATTGACTTGAAATTGAATCAACTGTTGACGTTTCGTGTGGCCAGTTAATTTGACAACAGGTATATTTACAATGAGGTAAATAAATTTATAAAAAAGCTATAGTAATTGGACAGAATAGTACGGGAAGCCTTGTTGTACTTGAGGTCTATAATTTTTTCCAGTTTATTGAGAGTGCCAGTTCACAAGGTGCCTGTTAAAACAGAGTTGGCTGTATATCCCTACACAGTGAATCTTTGGAGAGTTTCAGTGCGCCCCTCTCTCAAATCCTCACACCCAGCAGGCCACCCTTGTCCATTGATTTTCTTTTTTGGAAACCCTGTAACCTGATATTGTGAGGGCTTTCTCTGTATCCTTCTCGTCACCGTGGCAGAATGCATCGTCTGGGTCTTGTATCCAGGCAGAGCTGTTGATTAGCTACCTTGAGACCCCAACTCCTTCATCTTGGAAGTAAATGGACAGTTTACAGCAAAAAGACTTTACAGTCTGATATCCTCAACACTCTCCTAGATTTTGGAGACTCTGTCTGTCCACCGGCATTACACTTGCATTGGCCCTTGTCTGCATTTGTGAATTCCCAGCACTATTTTCCCAGAAGACACTTTGGTCCTTCTTTAACTTCAAACAATCTATTATGCAGGCATGTCATTAGGTAAACTTCAGATTGCACAAACCTTTTAGTTTTACCCCGTTTCAAAGAGACTGTTTAAAAATAATATAGGATCGGTATAATTATTAGTTTAATGAGACTGTCTTGTTCTCAAAACCAGGTTGAGTGTAACCTTCTTTCTGTTTGCTCCGGAACATGTTGTTCTATGAAACAATCCTGAAAACATGCTACAAACTGTACCTAGGCTGCCTTTACCCATCTGACATTTGCAGTGTAAATGTAGAATAAATCACCCCTGTGATTATTGCTGTGCTTTTCATGACAGGCTGCCATTATTCCTTCCTTGTACAGTGCACCTTACCATGTGTTTACTGTTTGCACACCACTCCCACTGGGTAGGACAGGCTAGGCTTGCAGTTGCTGGAGTTGAGAGGAGTAAGATGTGACTTGATGGAAGCAAATCAGATTGTGAGAAGTCTTGACAAGGTGGACGTGGAAAGTATGTTTCCTCTTTTCATAAAATCCCTGCCATGTGGAAACAGGCCCTTTGGCCCAACAAGTCCACACCGATCCTCAGAGCATCCCACCCAGGCTCACTTACATTAAGAAGAAATCACGTTTGTTTACAATCAGATGTGCTTCAGCGGAGCATGTTTTAAGTCCGAGAATGTTATGGAGATACAGCTGCACAAAGGGGAAATTGATTAAGACAGGAAATTGAAAAGCCAAAGGAAGGAAGATAAAATGTTCTCCAAAGCAGCAACAGAAGGCATTGAGATGGATGGAAGGAGGAGAAACAACAATGGAGAGGGACAGTAGTTATCAGACAGCAGGCTCTGAGGTGTGAAAAACTGACACCCAACCTCCAAGATGCAATGAGACAAATTTTAACCCAATATAGAATTTCCTCTTTTTTCATAAAATCCCTACAGTGTGGAAGCAGGCTATATGGTCCATCCGAGAGCATCCCACCCTGTCCCTGTATCCCTGTATTTCCTGTGGCTTATCCACCTAGCCTGCACATCCCTGGACACTGTGGGCAATTTCGCACGGCCAATCCACTTAACCTGCACATCTTCAGACTGTGGGAAGAAACCAGAGCACCCAGAGGAAACCCATGAAGACACAGGGAGAACGTGCAAGCCCTACACAGACATGTCGCCGGAGGGTAAAATTGAACCTGTGTCCCTGGAGCTGTGAGGCAGCAGTACTAACCATTGAGCCACTGTGCCGTACACCAGGCATGTAATTCAAGGGATCAGGTGGAGCATTAGCCTGACTTCAGGAGAGAGTCAAGTTTAAGAAGCATGTAAAAACTGGTGTTTACTCAATACCCTCAGTTTGCCAGGGGTCTGTGAGGTTAGAATTGAGTGACTGATCTACTGGGGTGGGTGTA